TACAATTTTTACGTGATTTTTTCGATACTAAATGATAAGGGAAAAGGTCTAGAACTGTTCATACTGCTCTATCGTTGATGAATCCTTGCCAGATGGTGACAAGTCTTGATATTATGATTGATATCTAAGGGACAAATCTACTAGCGATAATTTAGTTTAGGATATGAAAATTTCACAAAATATTTCAATTAGATCAATGTTTTGATCAGCTGTTTTTCGATTTTCGGTTGTTGTGAAAAGTGACATGTCATACAAAAATGATTATAATATCCAAAGTATTTAAATTAATTGTTTCAAATAAAGACTAGCTAATACATAATTAAACAGCTAAGGCATGTGTATTGTTAGAATTGGATAGCAGTGTTGTTGAACCAGTAAAAAATAAGGTTAGCACTCAATTTTTTATGTTTAAAATTGTCATATGTGTCTAACATCCTTGAATGTTGTGTGATTTTAATAATATTTTGATGTTATACTGATATTTAAGTAGTTTAGATTTATTCTGCACTCATTTATCTTTAATTTAATATATAATAAGTCCCGATACAGCCCATACTTTTTCTTCAGGTAGGTTTTAGCTTTGTCGTGTTGCACTAAAAAAATTCCGCTTAAAATTAATGCTGTCCAAACCACAGAAAAAATGCCGTCCTGAAAGAGTTAATGAGATGTTAATTCTACATGAACACAATCTTGGGTGTGGGAAGTTTCAAAATGTCTCTTATCTGAACCTCGAAGACGGCGTAGAGGGGAGGGGGCCAAGGCTTTATTCCAAGGTTGTATGATCTGGTAAGACTTACTTACCATTATCCACCAGTCTAGTCCATAGAGCATTGGTTAGATCAGCTCTCTCCAAGGTAATTCCCGCTTGTATTATTAGTGCAATAACATGCACGCTAGTCCGCTGTTTCATTACCGTTTACTATGGCATGATCGTGTGTAGATCAGTACCGTGCGGATTTTCACCATTACCTCTAGACAACCTCTCTATTCTTTACTTGAGCGGTTAAATTGCAATTCTTAAATTGCCAAGACAGACGGATAGTCGACGAGTTTTCCTGGTGTTAGGATGTAGTTTTAACTGTTCTTCTTCTTCTTCTTTTCCTCTACTTCCTTTTTCTGATATTGCCCTTAGAGGTGTTGGTACGCAGTGTATAGTTAATAGTTAGACTGCCCCTTTCGACCCAACAAATCTGATTTCAGAAACTCCCTGCATGATTACCTTTTACGTCATGCTTGATACAGTGTTGGTGAGTCTGAACCCCCTTCCCCATTGACTGGATCCCAGGAACCCACGCAGGGCCGATTTTACCGTTAAAAATTACCAGTTTCATTTCATTCTCTCTTTCTTGAAGCTACTTCTTACCTCTGTTAGTGCTAATTCTTCCTTTTTTATTTTCACCGAGTTATCTCAAATTGCGGTCACTCTCTCTGACTGTTCATTTATTGCCATACTGTTTAGTCGTTAGTTCCCATTTTGTGTTTACTTTGAAATGTATGAATTCATTTTCTAATACCCGTACAGTCTGCATGACAGTTTAAATTCGGTCGGACACACTATTTATTTCCTAAATAAAAAAATTGAAAAGTTCTGAAATGAGGAAACAGTTGCACGTCTTATCTGAAGGGAAGGATGCAGCCCAGATGGCTGATTTTCAACACGAACCGTAGTTCCCTGACTCAGTGGCGGCGCTCACGCGGTAAGGTACGTTCAGTGGCGGAACTGTCCTGTACTGTAAGCACCCTGTTGAGCAGAATCTAGCAATATGTATTTGTTGTTGTATTTAGGACTGCGGTGTGTGTGTGGGTGGGGGGGGGGGGGGGGGGTGTGGTGTTAGGACTGCAGTGCGTCTTGTTTTAGTTGCCAGTAAATGAACGATTCATTCCTTCTTTTGCCTATCAAAATGTCTGGCTCAGCTGCAATTGTCTGTCACAGTATATAGTTACATCCATTTATATTTCGACCATGTAGTGCCGGGGCAGAAACACCTATCCGTGGGCCCTATAAGGCCCTTGAAATCATTCAGCCCTTTCAAGGCAACCGCTATGAAATGGTTGACCCAATAAAGGAGATTATTTTAAATTTAATTGCCTGTACTGCAAGCGAATGATTTTATACATATCCGAGCCTTAGCAGAAAACAGAAACGTCCCAACCCGAATGTAGTGGTACATGCAAATGTTCATTAGCTCTTGTCTTGTCCATACTCATGACCTGTGTTTGCTGGTAACAACCACCCCCCCCCCCCCCCCCACATCTATGAAAACTGGACATTACAAAAGCTGATGGTCGACAGTCTTGTAAAAACAATGGAGAAACTATACTGAACGGTTTTTGAAGTCTGAATCATAAATACATTGAGACTATATAATATTGAATTAGGAATCGACATCACAGCGCTCAGGACACTGTAATAATAAGCACACCATCCCCATCTTTAGTAGCGAGCGAAGAGTTTCGACTCTTTTGATGGCACCGGTAACTGATAGCGTATTTGTCTCGCCTTTCCCTGAGTGTTGACCATCGGACAGATTCCCTGGTAACTCCTCGCAGCGCCATTCTCCTCTGGCCGTAATGATTTGTTTCTGGCTCTGCACTGTTCACTCGCTCCAAAAAGTGATCACAACGTTTAGCTTGTCATTCATCAGTTCACCACCAAATGGTGCAGAACCGGCAATTTGAGGTCATCTTCAGTGGTATTATGTACAAATTATGATGTACTGACTGGCACCCATAGATGCAGAAGTAAAGACAGACTGAGACACTAGAGTCTAGACAACCTAACAGTAGACTGGAGTGTCTATACGGGGAATGGCAACTTTGCTCGGAGAGGGGAATAAAATGCACAGACCTGCCGTGACTACGACGCACTGTTGTGACCGATTTTGTAATGCCACACTGGCCGCAGACATCATAGATATCTGCGGAGGATACCCCAGCTGCCATTAAGTCTTGAGGTCTCAGACAGGTTCCTTCATTAACTTATTTAAAAATAATAATTGAGGTTTAGGTTCAGACATAATTTAGAACACCATAATCTGTCCCTGGTGGTTTTCATTTTTTGTTGTCGATTTTTCCCAACGATATGACAAATGCCTGCACGTGAAGAAGTCGGCCAAACTGTTTCACTTGTGGAGCATCCCGTGAATATATCATGCGCCATAGCATAGAACGTGTTAAACGTAAAAAATAGACGCTCGCCTGCCAGCTGAAGGTTTCGGGTTCGAATCCGTAGTCCGAGTTAAAAAAATAAATCTTAAACATTGATCTTAGCTCACAAGTCGACCTAGCCTTAAATGAATACTAGATAGTGTCCTGGTAAGTAAAGGCGACCGGCGGGATGTTACCCATATCGCCCACCTTGGTTCCGATTGGAAAAGATAATGAGTCTTGCGATCACGTGTCCGATGCGTCCTGGCTTCAAAACGGGTCCTTTACTTACTTGACGAACAAGAAAACTATAAGCTAGTGGTTGACACACACAGAAGCCAGTTGATTCAGTATGAGGAGGTGTTGTACAGTCTGCTCAAGCAGGCCCGTTGAAGCATGTATCGAGACTCTTGCATCTGGAAGCTACAGACCCCGGGAATGTCTACCTCCACATTTAAGTGGAACCAGTGTTTACAAATGTTTACAGTTACCTGTGCGCCTATGGGAGTTCTGTGCCCTCGTTTTCATTTCCCGATTCCTTTTTGGTGTCCTATCCTTCTCCTTGCTGCCAGTAGCCGAGGATAGAACGAGAGGCAGAGAGATAGAGAGAGGGCGAACTCTTGCTAGTTGGAATTTCGTTCTTCAAACTTGGATAGCAGCTGTGTTTCAGTTTGTGAACAGATAATAGTAATTGCTATATGGTCGTGTTTTGTGTGTGTTAGTCATCGTGTGGAGATAAATTGTCTGCTAGATGTACAGATTGGAATCCTAGCATTAACGTGTGTCTCTCTCGAATGGGCGGCGGCACAAGATAGTTAAATTAGGCCGTGGTGGATATAAATGTGTCTTCTGGCTTCTGATCGTGAGAAGGTGTGCTAATTGCTTGAATCTTTGTCAACTTATTTCAGTCAACACGTTTGTGTATTATTTTCTATTTAAGCATCTGTCGGTTTAACTGAATTCATTTTGTTTCCTGTTTTAAAACGCACTTGGCCCGTTCTCGCTTTGATTGATACTTGTTGTATGTTCCCTAGTGTTTTTTTTTTTTTTTGCGAATGTGTGGTGGAGCCACTGGGGGTACGAACTGCCTGGAAGTTATGTAGATTAAGTCTCTTAAAAGCAGTATAGACAGGGGGACATATAGAGTAGATATAGAAGGACGATTATTTTTAACATGCTGTTTAATGACCTCAAAGGCGTACCGACAGTTCTGCGTATGACTACACCCTCGGTAACACGAATTGCAAGGGACAGAAACACCACGAACTAATGTTCCTTTATATTAACCCATTGTTCTTTAAACCAGTTCGTGTTAACTATGCTTAACTGTATACAGAGACACAAGAAATGCACGGTACAGCCTCCAGTATGCAGTCGACTTTGGCTTCCAGTTCGGCTCAGCCGCTCAGGTAAATGAGTGCCAGGAAATGCGACCAATGTGGTATTGACCACATCACAAGTAGTCGAATGTCGATTGATCCGTGAATAGATAGATCTAGCACCATATATCTGATGCGACAAAGGCTTCAGACGGATCCTTTACCAACAGCTTGCTACTCCGATATGCGCCCTTTCAGAGCGAATGAACATTGCGGAGGCGCACATAGATCATTACTGTCTGATGAGAATGGCACTGCGAGGAGTTACCAGGGGATCTGTACAATCGGACAGTTACTGATACCTTCGGAATTGGAACTCTTAGCTTGCTGCTGCAGATGGTAACGGAGAGATTATGGGAATGTCACGAGTGCGGTGATGTCGATTCTTAATTTAACATTCGACTACTCCGATATGCACGATAAGTCTTTCATTGGCGACTAGATAATATAAATTTAAACGAAATATTTAAATTATCACAGTCTATATAACATCTGTATTTTTATCTGCAGTTTTTGTCCCCCCCCCCCACACACACACAAATTCGGCTCGGGTGTGGACCTAGTCATAGCTGCAGCATTTTCTGGTGTCGACCTAGTCTTAGCTGCAGCATTCTCTGGTGTCGACCTAGTCTTAGCTGCAGCATCTTCTGGTGTCGATCTAGTCTTAGCTGCAGCCTTTTCTGGTGTTGATCTAGTCTTTGCTGCAGCATCTTCTGGTGTTGATCTAGTCTTTGCTGCAGCATTTTCTGGTGTCGACCTAGTCTTAGCTGCAGCATTTTCTGGTGTCGACCTAGTCTTAGCTGCAGCCTTTTCTGGTGTCGACCTAGTCTTAGCTGCAGCATTTTCTGGTGTGGACCTAGCCATAGCTGCAGCATATTCTGGTGTCGACCTGGTCATAGCTGCAGCATTTTCTGGTGTCGACCTAGTCATAGCTGCAGCATTTTCTGGTGTTAATCTAGTCTTAGCTGCAGCATTTTCTGGTGTTAATCTAGTCTTAGCTGCAGCATTTTCTGGTCTCGATCTATTCATAGCTGCAGCATTTTCTGGTGCCGACCTAGTCATAGCTGCAGCATTTTCTGGTGTCGACCTAGTCATAGCTGCAGCATTTTCCGGTGTCAACCTGGTCATAGCTGCAGCATTTTCTGGTGCCTACCTAGTCATAGCTGCAGCATTTTCTGGTATCGACCTAGCCATAGCTGCAGCATTTTCTTGGAGGGATAGGCGACGAGGAAGTCAGCAAGCCACTTGACTTCATATGTTGTTGTCTAGAATATGTGAAAATGAGGTCAGTCTGCGATATCCCACGTGAAATGACGAGGTTAGCAAAGTTAGCATCTATGCAGGTGCACCACATGAAAGTGAAGTGAGGCCTTGGTCAGTATGAACTCGCCCTCTAGCACGCCTTCGCGTTTCTTTCATGGGAACGTTTATATTCTGGCTGAACTTTTTTTGCCATTTTGTTGATTCTTGGACGTAAGCTCTTTGATATAATCGTGATTTATTCATCCTCTCGTTATCACCTGCTTACCAGGGCTTTGATCTTTTTCTACCACATCCCCTTCACCCGTGACCACACAGCAGGGTTCAGTCTTTAACATAGCATGAGCATATCTCTTTCTTTCTCGCATATCTGTTTGTCTCTCACAGTATCTGTCTGTCTCTCCCTCCCCCTTCCTCGTTCTTTTCTGCCACAGTATCTGTCTGTCTCCCCCTTCCCCGTTCTTGTCTCCCACAGTATCTGTCTCCCACCCCCTTCCTCGTTTTTGTCTCCCACAGTATCTGTCTGCCTCCCCCTTCCCCGTTTTTGTCTCCCATAGTATCTGTCTGTCTCCCCCCTTCCCCGTTCTTGTCTCCCACAGTATATGTCTGTCTCCCCCTTCCCCGTTCTTGTCTCCCACAGTATCTGTCTGTCTCTCCCTCCCCCTTTCCCGTTCTTGTCTCCCACAGTATCTGTCTGTCTCTCCCTCCCCCTTTCCCGTTCTTGTCTCCCACAGTATCTGTCTGTCTCTCCCTCCCCCCTTTCCCGTTATTGTCTCCCACAGTATCTGTCTGTCTCTCCCTTCCCCGTTCTTGTCTCCCAAAGTATTTGTCTGTCTTCCCCCTTCCCCGTTCTTGTCTCCCACAGTATCTGTCTGTCTCTCCCTTCCCCGTTCTTGTCTCCCAAAGTATTTGTCTGTCTCCCCCCTTCCCCGTTCTTGTCTCCCACAGTATCTGTCTCTCCCTCCCCCATTCTTGTCTCCAACACAGTATATGTCTGTCTCTACCTCCCTCTTCCCCGTTCTTGTCTCCCACAGTATCTGTCTGTCTCTCCCTCCCCCTTCCCCGTTCTTGTCTCCCACAGTATCTGTCTGTCTCTCCCTCCCCCTTCCCCGTTCTTGTCTCCCACAGTATCTGTCTGTCTCTCCCTCCCCCTTCCCCGTTCTTGTCTCCCACAGTATCTGTCTGTCTCTCCCTCCCCCTTCCCCGTTCTTGTTTCCCTCAGTATCTGTCTGTCTCTCCCTCCCCCTTCCCCGTTCTTGTCTGCCACAGTATTTGTCTGTCTCTCCCTCCCCTTCCCCGTTCTTGTCTCCCACAGTATAAATCTTCTTATTCTTGGCGTTCGCTGGCTGTAAATTCTGGCGAGAGTCCTGGTTGTTCGTCCACGTGGGGATCCTGATCCTTTTCTAGAACTTGCGCTTTACCTGCACATGCGTTTTTGTATACAGACTGTTGGTTCCTCGCCTCTCAGGCTGATGCATTCCGACTTGGAAGGCAAACCCCTCATTTGTCGATATTTACCACTTGCTTGTTAGTGGCAGTTAGTCTAGTCCCCCCCCCCCCCCCCCCCCCCCCAGCCCGCCGCATGGGGTCCCGGAGCCCCACGGGGAACAGCAGACATGATTTTAGTCAACTGCGCGTCTTTGTCGCCTCTTCCCCACCCCTCCCCCCAACTGAAAAAAAAAAATTCTGCCAGTGGCATTTGGATATTTAACTGACAGATTAGCCTGCTGTGTTTAGTCAAACAGTCATTTCGTCAAACATTCAGTTAAGTTTGCATCGACAGGGCCAGTCCAAAGGATTTCTCAGGGTAGACCCCGGTTTAAAATAGTGCTTAATATCTCAGCCTGGTAGTGGTCAGCTTGCTAGTGGTCTGGATGGATATGTGGCTGTTGGGAGTCTGGGTGGATATGTGGCTGTTGGGAGTCTGGGTGGATATGTGGCTGTTGGGAGTCTGGGTGGATATGTGGCTGTTGGGGGTCTGGGTGGATATGTGGCTGTTGGGAGTCTCGGTGGATATGCGGCTGTTGGAGGTCTGGATGGATATGTGGCTGTTGGGGGTCTGGGTGGATATGTGGCTGTTGGAGGTCTGGGTGGATATGTGGCTGTTGGGAGTCTGGATGGATATGTGGCTGTTGGGAGTCTGGGTGGATATGTGGCTGTTGGGGGTCTGGGTGGATATGTGGCTGTTGGAGGTCTGGATGGATATGTGGCTGTTGGGGGTCTGGGTGGATATGCGGCTGTTGGGGTCTGGGTGGATGTGTGGCTGTTGGGGGTCTGGGTGGATATGTGACTGTTGGGGGTCTGGTGGATAAGTGGCTGTTGGGGTCTGGGTGGATATGGGGCTGTTGGGGGTCTGGGTGGATATGTGGCTGCTGGGGGTCTGGGTGGATATGTGGCTGTTAAGGGTCTAGATGGATATGTGGCTGTTGGGAGTCTGGGTGGATATGTGGCTGTTAAGGGTCTGGATGGATATGTGGCTGTTAAGGGTCTGTGTGGATATGTGGCTGTTAAGGGTCTGTGTGGATATGTGGCTGTTAAGGGTCTGTGTGGATATGTGGCTGTTGGGGGTCTGGGTGGATATGGGGCTGTTGGGGGTCTCGGTGGATATGTGGCTGTTGGAGGTCTGGGTGGATGTGGGGCTGTTAAGGGTCTGGGTGGAAATGTGGCTGTTGGGGGTCTCGGTGGATATGTGACTGTTGGGGGTCTGGGTGGAAATGTGGCTGTTGGGGGTCTCGGTGGATATGTGGCTGTTGGGGGTCTCGGTGGATATAGGGCTGTAAAGGGTCTGGGTGGATATGTGGCTGTTGGGGGTCTCGGTGGATATGTGGCTGTTGGGGGTCTGGGTGGATATGTGGCTGTTGGGGGTCTCGGTGGATATAGGGCTGTAAAGGGTCTGGGTGGATATGTGGCTGTTAGGGGTCTCGGTGGATTTGGGGCTGTTGGGGGTCTGGATGGATATGTGGCCTTGGTGGGCCTATGTTTCCGGTTTCATCATTATTGGTGCATGTATTAAATAAAACCTATACGTTACGTTTCGTTGCCGGTAGGACATTCCTAATCTAATCCTTGATAAGCAAATGAGAGGAAGTGTCTTCCATTTCTGAGCTATCATTTCCTTTCTTCATCCTCCTCGTTTTCTTCTCCTCCTCCTCCTTATTTTCTCCTCCTCCTCGTGTTCTTCTCCCTCTTCTGATCTATCTTATTTTAATAATGAAATGTCTTTTTCTTTTTTCTTCTCTTCTTCTTCCCCGCGTCTGTTCACTATCCTCATCAACATCCTCTTTATTTTCTGTTTCTTCATGTTGTGTCCACATTTAATCCCAATATTCCGTTATCTTATAACGTCCCCCCATCCCTCCCTAGTTCTTGGATTCTCATTGGTCCCTGCTTACCAGATTCTTAATCTAGCGCTTATCTTTACAACCACTGGCGCCTACTTTATGGCTTGTACATTTTTCCAAACGCCACGCCACGCCCCCAACCAGAATCGAATTACATTATGTCTTACAGTTGCGGTAATGGGGTTAATTAAGCCAGTACATTGTATTTAAGTTCTTCGCGAAAAGCTCTGGAATACTGATTTGTAGAACAGAGACAGTGTCTATCTTGCCTTTGCCCTGAGTGTTGAGTGTCCACCGTTAAAGATGGAAAATATTGCTCTCGGCTGTGCGGGACACTCACTGGTCCCGACAGTTGCTGTCAGGGGTTGTGGGAGGCTAGAACAAGCACATTCTCATTCCTTCAGAATTGTTTTGAGCTACAGACCAATCACTGATAACAAAACAAAAAACACACTATCAGTTATTTTAAAGCAGGAGGATCTACACTTCCTTGAGCCTCATCTCTTATAGCTCCGTCTTTGTCTCCGAAACACGCAAACCGAGGGATGGAATCGGAAATCAGATCGAACCCACATCCTTTAGAGCACGAGGCAAAAGGCTTAACCACTTCGAAACGGAGACCCTTAGACGACACAGTAAGAACAGGTTGGACTGCCCAGATGTTGTCAGCAATAGTTTAGTTAAGCAATGCTTACAAGAAAAGACACAGATTAACAATAATCTCATAGGAATAAGCGAAATATGGATGATAATTTGTAGTAATATAATAGCAAACACAGTCAGGCTTTCAGGAAATGGTGAACACAAACAGTGAATGGCCACTGCTACCACGAGGAGACAACTCTATGAATTCAGATGCTTGCTGTCATCTACAGATTAGTCTGCATGCACTTCCTGGGTTATATGGTCACAATCAGGCGGTCATCTTTACTTCTCATGACGTTTCGTGGTGTCCATTGTAGGCTGCATCGACCCGATTGCTAAAGGGATTCAGATCTAAGGTTACAAGGCCGGCAGCCTAGCCTGCTAACCAATGCGTTTTCTATAGTCAGTGGTTATGATCCTCAGTGTCTACTGTTCCTGTTAAACGGCATGGGAGGAACAGTGTTGCGATTCATTCTTTGATGACTAGCAGTAGCTATTGTCATTTCCTGTCCATGCAAAAGGGCAATCAAATGTAATCAGTCTATAGTCCGTGACATAAATCCTTCCCAACTTTAAAAATCTGTAACTTTGTAACCGTTGGATGTAAGTTCTTGAAATATGGTATGCAGCTTGATAATAAGCATTTCCTTGTGAGAATTAGTTATTTTTTGTAAACAGACATCTAGTTTTAATCTTACCTGGTTTGCGGTATATGAAAAAACAGGCACCGGATAAAAGAAATCTGTTAGCATACCTACAGTAACTACTTGAGTAAACTGAGTAGGAAACTTAACATCAAACTTCTCTCGTGTCATAGCCGGTTCACTCTCAGGTGGTTGTCTCCAGCTTAAGCTTCCCATGAGTTGTGAATTTTTCAAAGAG